AAACAACTGATATCCAATTAAATTTACACCCTGTATAACATTTGATGGTAACGTATTTATTTAATATTTTTTTTTTACAAAATAAAAATATGTTCACCATCTACTTCTAAAAATTTCTTATCCATTATTGAAGGAGGTTTATCGGATACGGAGGTACGTCTAAAGTCTAACGAAAGTTTCTGTAGATTCGCTAGCGACTAAAATAGTAAGTCTTTAGATTTGGTAACGTTGCACTTGGCTGGTGCGCTCTGCTCGGCGTTTGTTTGCTCCCGTTCGATCATTCTGTTTGTTTGGACACCTGCGAACTTCAAATAATACGCTACGTCGAGACCGCGGCGTTGCCACTATCACGCATATGGAGGATAAGTTAGTCAACGACAGCCGTTTGAAGGAGAATTATTATAAATTATGTATCTTACAAGTAGGTACCTAATCGATTTCTACAAGCTGTCATACGGTTCCTCAGATATCGGTTTCCTATTTATACAAGTTGCCGTGGAAACTGTTCGTCAATTGTTGCTCATTCTAAGTGGAAAGACCAAAAAAATCTGCATTCTCATAAGACTGTACTAAATCGTGAAAAATTATTTGATTAATATCTCGTCTCTTAGGTATCCAAACTACTCATAATTTTTTTATGGATATTTGTTCGTCAATTCCAAATCAGATAAACCTCCTTAAAATTTTGCAAAAATCATCAAAATTAAATTTGGTAGTGACAAAAATTTGTACAATGTTAATCTACTAACTGCAGAAAAGTCTGACTACAAATCTGTTATTTATTTACACAAATGGTTTCTGTTATCATTTTACGGATATCTCATACATTTCTCTCTATGTAGAAGTTATAGTCTTTCCGATCTCAATTGTAGACCAAAAAGCTAGGCAGTATGTACCAGATTCGGTCGCTATGCAGCAACTCGGCACTGAAACATTTAAAAAATTTGTTCCCATATTTATTTAGCCATACCCATATACAGGTCTGGTCGAACTAAACGTGCAGGTGGTAGATATGTATACGCCCAGTTGAAGAATGTGCGCGCGGGCAAACGTCGCACAAACACAATCGCACTGGGCGACTGGGCCATAAATTTCAGTTGTTGACAAATTGCCTAGCAGTGCAGTGCATCATATTTTATTGTTGATTATTTTCATTTAATAACATTTCTAACCTAAACTAACAACCTTTCCTCATCCTTTCCTGCTAAGGATATGCTTGTACCTTCCCGTTGGTTCTTGCCGAGCAGTAATATACCGAGCGTTCAAATAAAAACGTGGTCGAAGTTGGCTCTGACACATTGGACGTAGGGAGTAGCTTATAGCGACCAACTTAACCTCATTTCTCAACGAGCTATATAGCATCTGTCAGTTTCAATAACGTTAATGACTATATAACTTTATTTTAAAGAATAATCGTGATAACAATAACAAACAATTAAAGGAGCTGCGGAAAGTGTCCCCCTCCTTGTTATAACAATAAATTAAAGCAGCTGCTGAAAGTGTCCCCCTCCTTGTTCCAAGCACTTTTCACACCTGTTCCTCAAAGAATTAAAGACATTTTCTAAGATGCTCGGGGTATTGTTAATTTCACG